CCCGGCAGCCGGGAATGGGCAGAGCAGGGCGATCTCGGCTGTCACTTTTAAGCAGCGTAAGCTGAAAACACAGGGCCCACACCGGTGCCCTCAGTGACAGGCACATGGAAACGCAGCTCTCTTAAGGAGCTTGCAGCTGCTCAGTGAGGAGTTTCTGGATTTCTTGTTTGTTTTTCCCTCTTCTCCGGACCCTTCTCCGCACGTGTACAGGTTGTGCTTGCTGTACTTGTGCTCCGTGGACCTGTTGTGTCCGAGCTAAGCTCGCACCTCCTCTCCTCTTCCTCCCTTGCTTCCTCTGGAACACCCTCTTTCAAAACACTCTTGCTCTGCAGGCAAGCTGCAGACTGCTCTCAGTGCTGAAATCAACTTCTTATGCTTCAGAAACAACTGAGTTAATTTCCGAGTAACTGATTTGTTGCAGGAGGAGCCAATTTGGATTTTTTCTCCTAGCGTTTTCTTAGAATATGTGTTTTCTCAACAAATGCTTTCATGAGTGCTATATCTTGAGGGTTCTTGGTTCACAGGGCTTCAAATTTTTGTAAGTAGCTTTTCAGAGAAACACCACTGGAAATACCTGTGAAAATGCATATAACTCAGTGCATCTCCTCCTGCAGTGGAGAAAAAGACTCAAATAATAAGCAACTAGGTCAAGTGTAACATATGCTTTAAATATTTATTTGAAGGCAGCATGGCAGAGTGAACTTAAATGTGAACCACCTGAAGGTAAATGTTTTGTTAGATAAAAAGTGGAACTTTGCACAGATTTGAAGATTGTGGGGGAATCTGACCACGGATGCTAAAAGTGGAGAATTCAAAAAAGAAGTTATTTTTTATCAAAGCTGATGGGTGATAGTGACTTGCTTGGCATTTCGCATGGGTTAATGGAGTGGAACAGCTGGGAAGTCAACAACAAGGAAGAAGTCAAGATACCACAGTGGGATTCAGAATGTCTGTTAACACCCCTAAATTATGTGGGAGGGTTAAAAGTGCTGAAATACTGGCTGGCATATGTTTATCATGCCTATCGTATGAAGAAAGAGCTAAGTGTATTGATCTGTTTTTTTGTTGTGTTGTGGGATTTTATATCTTCTGTAAGCTTCTGTGGCATTTCTGCAAGAATGAACTTGTCTGGTCTAGTTTTCTTTATGATTTTTAGACAGCAGGGTATTTGTCTAAATTGCAGCCAGTATAGTAGCTGAAGATGAGACGTCTGGTCTAAATAGCAGTGCAACAACAGGAGGGGTGTTCGCTGTATTGCTAATTACTATAACTTTATCAAAGTAGGGCATGGCTTCTTGATGTAGGTACTGATTTGAAAGGGTCCTTTTCGGTTTACATGTTGAATACTTTCCCTGGAAGAAGTGGTATGGTATCTGCTTAGGTACAAAAAAAAGGATGATATAAATCTTGCTATGGCAATATTTAAGAATTAAAAAAAATCATGTCTTACTCAGCAATAAGCTGTCTACAATAAAGTCATCTTACAGTAAACTCATGACACACCATTTCTGGCAGAACAGCAGTAGTAAATACACATATTAAATGCTTTCCTAAAACAGGCTGCAGGAAAACCAACCAGAAACAGAGATACTGAACCAGTATCTTTGCTCACCTGCTAAAGCAAATGCAGTCACAAATTGTGTGGTAATTGATTTTTTTAGTTTCCTAGAACCCGTATTCAAAAATATATTTGCAGCTTAAAGCATATTAAACTTATTCCAGTGATTTCAATTTTCTTCTAAAATATTTTTATTCTAAAGAAAACTAATGGAAAAGAGGTAATGTCTTTCAGGTTGTAGTTGCAAAGACTGTTACAGTGATCATGAATCGATGCTAACAGTTTCTTCTTTGTTTGACAGCATTGCAGAAATTCAGAAAGATGTGGAGTATCGACTGCCATTTACTGTAAACAACTTGACAATTAATATTAACATGTAAGTAGAGTGAGATACCTCTTTGCACCTCCTGAAAATTAATACTATTCTTATAAAAACTAGTGGTAGAATATAAATGGCTCCCATATCAAATCTGATCTCAGGAACTATAAATTTGACTTGAAACAGTAGTTTTAATGACATGAGTGAAACTAATGCATTCATGATGATTCATTATGCTCAACTCAAAGCATAACTGTTTTTTTCCTATGCTCAATTTCTAAGAGTTCCTTCGCATTTTCAGTCAAAGTAAATAGCATGAAACCAAGTATTTTTGATGTCTGAGCCCTCTTCTAGTAAAAGCACGCTTAAGCAGCAGCTTGCTAATCTGATGCTAGTTCCTAGTATTTGCTCTTGCCTCAGTAAGTGTGATCTTCTGGACCAGAACTTAAAATGGATTTACATTAATATTTCCACAGAATTTACATGGTTTTTATGTGCTTTCATTATTTGCTCTGGCAAATGCTCAAAGTTATTCATATGTCTTTATTCGTTTAGCAAGGTTATTACTTGTTACTTTTTACAGGTTATTATTTTATTACAAGGTTATTACTTTATTTACAAGGTTTTAATATGTTTTCTGATATTCCTACAGGTCACACTGCATTGTCTTTATTAGAAAGTTATTAATTACTAGAGAACTGTTCTTTAGAAAATATCCCTAACACATTGCTAATTTGCTTTGTCTATGGACATAATTGCTTCATTGTTATCCAGTCTTTTTTCCCAGCAAATGCTCTTTTCAGTTCCAAGGAAGCCTCATATTCTAATCTCTCTGAAGTGGCATTACTGACTTCTAATTTTGTAACTGAATAATCCTCTTGTGTGGCTCACATCATACTTTTCCATAGCAGTTTTCATATAGAAGTGTGTGGTTAGTAGCATGTTTTCTTTGTATAAGAAGTCTTCTTAAAACAAGTTTATGTAGTAATGGTTATTTTTATATATATATTTTGTTATGTTTGCAGCTTACTACCACCTCAATTTCCCCAGGAAAAACCAGTCATCAGTGTGTTCCCACCTGTGAGACATCATTTAATGGACAAGCAGGGTATATATGTGACCTGTCCACTAATAAGTAATGTGTGTATAATTTATAATTTTACATATGCTTATTATCTAGCAATTTTAATGCATGTTTAATGCATATTAGATTATTGCCAGTCTTTCTAGCAAAGAGAGACTTGCATGGATCCTAATCCCTCTTAAATAAGCTTAGTTTGAAAACAAAAACTCAGTAGTAATTTAAGTAGAGTACTTTTTTTTTTTTTTTCCTCTTACTACTACTATTATTGAATTCGGTATTCAGGATTTATTAAATCTAAAACTATTTTAAGACATGACGACTTAGAAAGTTACCAGGACTTTTCTGCATGGTATCAGTAGCATAGTTCTCATTTTTTCTGCAGTATATTCCAAATCAAGGAGAAAGATACCTTAATGCAGTTTTCAGTTTTAATTTCTACCTGAATTCTGATAGAAAAGTGTGAAGATTGTAGTTCTAATGTGCATTTTTTAATATGTTCTTCTTTTATTTTCTTTACCAACGTAGATGCTATGCTTAATAGATTCTCCATTTATAGTAACATATTCAAATAGTGTTTGTTTCTATTCTGTTTTGAGCAGCTTTAGCATTTAAAGAAACAAAGTTTCTAAAGTATGTGAGCTTGTGTATGCAAGTTTACATTTGCTGATATGTCTCAAACTATTTACCGCAGTGCCATGTGGGTGTAATAAATCACTGTGCTCAGCATGTTTCAGAGGTGCTGGGTTCCAGAAATATTTTTCTGCTTTGTTTAGCTTCTTTCTTTTCTTTTCTTTTTTTTTTTGCCAGTTTACAATGCACTCAGACCTTGGGAAAATTATTCAAAGTATATTGGATGAGTTTTGGAAGAATCCACCAGTTCTGGCTTCTAGCTCAACATCGTTTCCATAGTAGGTTTTTATAAACATAATAGAACTATAGCATCTTATTTAAAATACTGCAAAGATTAAAGAAGGCATCAAGGTATGGAGGAAACAAAATGATGTCGTGGATTTATTGAGACACCATCACCTTTGGGCTTTGCAAATTGATGTGCATTCTTGATGCTTAAAAAAAACATGCTTAAAACATGACTGTTTTAAGAAGCAACACTTCTTGCATTGAATTTATAGTATCAGCATGCTAATATGACCTCTCATGCTTTCATTTTCTTGAAAAGAAACAAGTATTTACATTATCAGAAGAAAGCTTGGAGTCTCTAGAGATCATGATGTGAACAGTTGTATTTTTTTCATATTGTGTTCATAACTTTTTAGGCTAGGAAGCAGTTTTTGTTGTACAGATGTTAATTTAAATGATAATTGGATTAAAAATATTTGGCTGACTGTATCAGACCATCCTTGAGAGTAGTACTGTTTTACAGACCAGGCTGTAATGTTTTCCATATACAATTGTGGATTTAAAAAAAAAAGCTTTTTAAAAGTATTTACATATGTATTTTCAAATTCTTTAAATGCTATGCTGTAAGTGAGAATTAATAACGTGAATGCATTTTTTTTAAGACTTCTATGTGGAAATAGTTTCAATTTATGCTCTCATAAGTTTTTTGAGAAGCAGGTTTTTGAATACATTTATGAGTTGCTCTCTAACAACTAAAAAGTAGTTATTTTTGCCTGCTTTATAGTAGCAGCCAAACAGACTTGTGTAACCACAGAGTGCTATATCTAATATAAAGAGGACTTATAAGGTTAGAAGTAAATGGGAACTGAAATGTTCATCATCTTAAAGTTCAGTATTCTCTCTTGTACATGCTCTAGTAATTACAATTCAGATGATAAGGAATGTGCTGTAAGACCCTGGTTGCTGATGCTGGTGGTCTCTATTTTCAGCCTTTATAGCAACCCCCCTGGAATGCCTCCATATGCTCCCCAGGGGTTTCCATTCCTCCCTCCGTATCCGCCCCAGGAGACGGGCAGAGCTCTAGCCCCGATGTCAGTGGCCGAGTCAGTTCGTCCAGGTTACGCCGCGGAGAAACCTGCTGCTCCCTCTTACGGCTTGATCGAAGATCTGCCCCTGCCTGTGCCAACAGCAGAAGCCGTGCTGCAGGTTTGTGTGCTGGGCTTGCTGCGAGCTCCGCTTGCCAGGCACCAGCTGGAAGCCTCCTGAAGGCAGGCAGGGCAATGCCACAAACCCAAGGGGTCCTTCTAATTTAGTATACTTAGCTGTGTTGCTGGTGCTAGAGAAATAGAACGGTCATTTTGTTTGGGATGAAAAGGTTTTTGAGAACAACACTGAAAGCAGAGCAGCAAGGTCTTTTTTTTTCCCTGAGTTTTGGTAAAATTAGACTTTATGCTAAATATTTATGTATTTTTTGAGCTGCACTGTATTTTTAAGTATACAGTGTCTGCAACCATGGAAAATGAAAAGCCCTAGGATTTTCTAGATAGAATTTGTCAGATAAGCACCATGTGCAGTCTCAAGCCTTTGCATGTAGGGTTTTTGCTCGTTTTCACTCGAATAGCTTCTCTTTGTGGAACTTGTGGATGTGTACCCCCCTTCCCTGACAAATGTTTTGTTTCTCTCATCATGAGGTTAAAATTGTCTTTAGAAACCAAAGCTTTTTAATCTCAGAAAGCACATTTTATTCATGAGAATTTTAACTTCCTGTAGGGACAGATTTTTTTCTTCTTTGGGGATTCGTTTCCCTGAGGATTATAATTGTGAGCATGTGTGAGATACTGAAATTTCTATTTTTTCTATTTTTTTCTCTATTTTTATTTTTCCGAATTACTCCTCCTGTTTCTTTCTTGGGTTATCCGACAGATCTTGAATGGAACACTTAGCAAGATGGTATTATCTTCCTCCAAATTTGAAATGACACCTCAAATGTTCCCAAGTATTTATGTTGCCAAGATTTAGACTTATTTGAAGACTAGTGCTATATGTACTGAATACTTTGTTTTTTGTTGATGACAGATATTAATTTCCAGGCTTGGATTATCAAGAAATTGCTGTTCAGGGATTTGCTAAGCATTCCTAAACTTACATTTAGGTTGGCCAGAATGGATTTGCTTACAAGATGCCTGATGTTCCTGATACATTTCCAGAACTCTCAGAACTAAGGTAAATTTCTGGAATGTGCAAAAACTTTCATATTTCATAAAATGCAGTTATTGCAGGTCTCCATGTAATTTTTGTTATAATTGTGAATGAATCATTTCATATCAAAGTCCTTTGTAGGAATGATAAATTATTTGTTGGACGTATTATCAGCTTACTGGTAAGTAAGCCTTGTATTTAAATTTGCTTCTTGATTAGGGTCTGCTCAGTAAGAACAGTATTTCAGAATTCAACACCTGGAATAAACGTCCTTTTGTACTTCTCCTAACTATCAAAGTCATCTGCTCTGTCTTCTGGAACTTCACCAGGGACTTGATTGCTGCTAATACAGGGATTGTAAATCTTGAAGGAGAAGGTGGCATAAGAAAGTGGACTGGCTTTGCATCTAAAAGTATTATCTTGTCACACTTCAAAGATTTTCACAGTAACGTGCTATGATCTATTAAGGCAGGCTGCTTAGTCTGTTGTCTGTGTTTGAAGGGCTGATTTTTTTTTATTAATTACGAGAGGATTTTAGGAACTTTGTATATTCCCTTCCTGATTTCATCTTTCTGGTGTTGCTTAATTGGAAGCTGCATTGTTGGAAGGAAGGAAAAAAGACATTTGGCAAGAATAAGTTCTGGGGTTCTGGAGATCTTTTAAGAATGTGTTGAAATTAGCTAAATGCAGTGTAAGTTCTAGCAGCATTATGTAACAGAAAGGCTTGTGGTTGTGGGTTTTTTGTATGTGGTGGGCGGATATCTTTTAGAAATGAAACATTTCAGCATTTCAGGGAAGTTTTGTATTTCCAAGAAGACCAGCTTAAGTTCCATGATTCTTGTAAGCAAGGTGAGTCTTTTGTTGGCAATATGGTGATTGTATCTAGAAGTCATGAATGGTGTTGGAGCTGTGCTGGATGATGTCACGTCCCTTCATGAGATGTAAGGCTTAAAATGACACTTTCACACGCAACTTATATTGTCTGATTCAGAGAGTAGGGCATATCATCCCAGTTTACAAGTAAATATCTCAAACGTCCATGTTTTGTCAAAAATAAGTAACTCTGCGTGTTTACTGTTAGTTTTAAATCTGCTTTCTTTCTCTTTGAATCTAGTATATCACAGCTGACCAGTATGAATGAGCAAGAGGAAGTGTTACTGGAACAGTTTGTGAATTTGCCACAGCTGAAGCAAGTCATTACAGACAGAGATGAATTAGTGACAAGTATTGAAGAGCTGGCAAGTAAGTTGTCAAACACATTAGCATCTCTGGCTGGATTCCAGGAACTAAATCCTTAAAAAATAATAAGAACAGTGATTTTATTTTACAGAAAAAAATTTGTTGTTGGAGCCTAGCTTAGAGGCAAAAAGACAGACAGTGTTGGATAAAGTAAGTACACAATGAAAACTTTTCCAGAAAGTGTTCTGTATTTTCGGAGGGAAAAACATTCTTTCTTTTTATTTCCAGTATGAGCAACTCACACAGATGAAAGCAGCCTTTGAGAAAAAGATGCAAAGACAGCATGAACTTAGTGAGGTATATAATCCCTATTTCACTTTCCTTTTTTTATTTTTTATTTATTTTTTTTTCTTAAAAAAAAAGGAATACTGAAAGTTTTCACTTGTGCCTTTATCCGTGACAAGTGTTCTTCTGGTTGAACTCTTCTTTTATGAAATAATGAGATTTATTTATGTCTCATGAGCTAAAACAGAGTCAAGTGTGAATTAACTTAAACCAATGTTAGGATTGCACTGCTGTTTTTTATAGTAGGTAGAAACAGGGTTGGAAGAATGTGATGAATGAGCCTTTTGACCAATTTAGGTTTAATTTTATAGCAAACAGTTTAAAGAATAAAAATATTTCTAGTGAAGTCTTGTTTTTTTAAAAAAAAGTACCCATTTAACGTGAAGAATCTGTAAAACTGTACCTGATGAAAATGGTTAAAACCATTGCTGTTCAACTTTAAATTCTGTTGTTCGTTAGGTATGCAAGCATATTACATATAGTGTCCAACTTTGCACAAATAGAGGGAAGTCATTATTTCAGAACCTAACATGGGTAAGGAGAGAATATTTTTTAGGATATTTTCTGGGTTATGCATTAACAGATGCAACTTATGAAACTTTTGATATAGAAATTGTTTTATTGCTTGCAAGGTTTTTGCTTGAATACAGTAATCCAGAAAGACGTGTATAGTGTCTGAATTTCAAAGTGCCTGAAATGTAACAAAAGTGAAATCACAAGTAGGTAAATTATATAATAGCAAAATAAATGACCTAATTAGTGATCTAAATGTGTTGAATGCTTTCTTACTTGAAAATCAAAACAGACTCACTGCTAATAATCTTCTTCCTGACTGATGTAATTAGTCTTAACACAGAGATAATCGCTTGGCATTGAGAAACTTCCTAGTTGTCTAGAACTTCTCAAGGGTAGGACAGAACATCGCACTGTTAGCTTTCCTTTTTTCTGATTTATTTTATTAATGTTTAGGAGGGTGAGAGCTGGAGTTGCAGATTGTTTTTGTGCTTTTTTTTATCCCCATGTGTGCTATGTCTTTGAGATGCTTGCTTTGTGCCAGTCTCCTGCTATTTCTTTCTCAAAACTCCAGGCAAGGGTTTTCCCTTGCACTGTGGGTGTATGTTTTCTCTCTTATGAGAACAGACTTTCCTTATTTTCACAAGAGTACTGATTAAACCAACAGGGTGTTTTCTGGTTGTGAGGGATACAAGCCTCTAAACTTTAAATCGATATAGAAAGACCATCATGCTGCACTTGCAGTTCTGAACTGCAAAACGAATCATGTTCTAATTGTTCTAGCATAATGGCAGAAAAATAATGAAATTATGAACAATAAGCAGAAATAGAAGTTCGAGTTTCTAAAAGCCTGTAAGAATGAATATACTGGACCAGATTAGCAGTCCAGCTACTTCTGGGCGGTAGTGCCGTGCATAGCTCTCCCTGGATTCTTTTCCACAGATCCCTCCAATGAGAAGAGTTTTTAGTCTCCCTTTTGCTCATGTTTGTCTGATATGCTTAGTATGCTGTGGTGATAGAGAGCCATGCATAATCTGTTTAAGGAACCTCTTTATCTTGTTTAATGCTACCTACAAACCTCCATGGATTATCACGAGTTTTTGTGGTGAAAGATGCAGTGAATGTCTAATCTCCCTTTACTCTGCAAGATTTTATTTTTTTTCTTTTCCAGGTTAGATTCCTAATCCACTAGTTTTCATAATTTGATTTAAAAAAAAAAATCCTTGTGCTTTAAATGCACAACCAAGCAGAAATCTTTACTTGGACTTTAAGCAGAACAGCTTTTCTGTTTTTCCTAACTGCTTCAGGTGCAATAAAATGAAAGGCCCAACATAAACTGCTCTGAGATTCACTGAATAAAGACAATGTGAAGCAGTAGTTTGCTCAGAATTGCGTTTCTGTTGGTTAAATGTTTTTCTCTTTGCTGGGCTGTTCAGTAAGGGGGAAAATGCTGTTAAGTTTTACAGACATCATGTGGATGTTGTTTTCCATAATACCTATTGCAGGGACGAAGTGAGAGAAATTCCATATTAATAACATTCAGTTTGGAAACCTAAATTATGATTGACTGAGTCATTAGGAAGTTATTCAAAAGCTGAGCCAAAGGGGACTTTTGTCACCTTAAACTTTTCCTGAGTTTGATTTTCAGTTGTGTCTACTGAGGGCAATTAAACCATGAAACCTCTATGAAGAAATTTTGCACTCAGAAACATGACAGAATCTGGATACTTTCAGTGTGGGAGAACATCAGTGAAGTTGAAAAGCTTATCATGCTTTTGATAACAAGATTGTGAATCAAACTGAGATCAAGAACCAAGCTGGCAACACTTCTCAAATTGAATCATTTTTAGTTTATCAATTTATACTGTTCCTTGGAGATAATGCTTTATTCAGTCCCTTAGTCTCTTATGTCATAATACTAATGCTGTCTCTGTATGTTCTGTTTTTATGTAATCATTTATCTATTTTGTCCTTGGAGATAGGAATTTTGATGGACAATTTAGTATTAAATAGGTGTCTTTATTTTTAGAGTTGCAGTCCAAGTGCTCTGCAAGCCAGATTGAAAGTAGCTGCTCATGAAGCTGAAGAGGAATCTGACACCATTGCAGAAGACTTTTTGGAAGGCAAAACTGAAATAGATGACTTTCTCAGTAGTTTTATGGAAAAGAGAACAGTATGTAATGAATAACTCATTCTAATCTGAGATATACAGTGTATAGTAAATAAATTTAAGACTTCAGCAGACTTGACCAATTTGTGATTCAGAGTGGTAGTTTAGCAAGCTTTAACATTTGAAAAATATATACATAAGAGGCTTCAGTCACTTCAAACTTTTATGTTCCTTTAAAGGAGCATAAGTTTTTAACACAGCAATTCAAGGATCTCTTGCATCAGGCTCTAAGGCTGTGCTGTTACAGGTGGTTTTTTGTCCGATGTGCTGCTTTATTTTCCTCTATTTTTTTACAGCATAGCTACAAGGGTATTTTTAAATTTGAAAAGAATTCTGTAGAGAGTGATACCTTGTATTAAGCAACCCTATCCCTTAATAAATTAAGCTATCTAAACTTTTAATTGATCTCCATTTGGCTATGGATATTGCCAAACAATTAACAGGTTTATAAATCACTTAACTGCAGTCTGACAAGAGCAACTTGGGAGCTTACCTTTTCCTTAAGCATATCTAATAAGTGTGTTTCATAAGATAGGAGATGATTGCTTTCTGCTGTAATTGCCTTGAAGTGATGTTATCAAAATATAGACACTTACTCAGCTTGAATGTTGGAAGGGAGATAATTTGCACCTCCTTATTTTTTAAAAGAGCCTGCAAAGTAGCTAAATCATTAATGAGGAACTGTGGTATGTGTAGTCCAAAATCCCTTTCACTGGTCCTGTGTCTTGTGTTTTAGCTCTGCCACTGTAGAAGAGCCAAAGAGGAAAAACTTCAACAGGCAATAGCAATGCACAGCCAATTTCATGCTCCGCTATAGGTAAGCTGCCCTTCTAATATTTGTGGTGAATTTGCTTTTGTTTTCTGATTCTGCCACATTGTCACTTGCTCAAATTTTCTGTTTAGGCCTGTATGTGCTGCACCTGTTGTTAATTCTAAAGCTTAATATATGAAGGAGTTCATGTCTAATTATGGAAATTTGTCTTTACAGAATTCCTGCAAACTAGACGTACCAAGAGAAGAGAGAACAAACCCAATAAAGCACACTTTATAATATCTATTATTAGCAAAATAAGCATTTCATCCATGGTTGTATTTCTAGAGGAGATTGTATACAGAACTGGGACTGTTTTTGTACAAATTGGAATGTCTCTTTATATTCTCATTGTACTCAAGAAATTCTTCTATTGCAATCTTTGCACTAATTTCTTGTATTTATTGTTGATAGTTCTTATTATACTTGAGTTTCTGCTGCTATACTCCATTCTTCAAAGATTAAATATCAAAACATGTGATTTTGACAAGCTTTTTACATTTTTATAAAACATTCATATCTTTTGTATTCCTAACTCTAAACAGAGGTTGGATCTATGAAAAAAGTTTGAGACAGGTGGTGATAGGGCTTTGGAAACTGAAGTTAATTATTTGAGATTGGCAGTGAATTCATAGGTTGTTTTTTTTTTTTCCTTGAGGCCAAAAATGTTCAACACTTTTTTTTTTTTTTTCTTGAAGTAATAATACAAAACTGAATATAGACTGTATTGTGGTTTTGGATAAGTGGATTTGAACTAAGCAAAGTATGTTTTGGAACAAATTATATTGGTATCAATCAAATAAATGATCTCTAGATTTAATATGTTACTCAGCACTAATGGAAACTTGATTTCAGGTGTGGCATGATAACTACAACTGTAATTAAATACAACTTTCACTTAACAATTTCATTTTCGTACTTGATTCTCCTGGGAAAGGCAGAATTCAAATCACTTCCCAGTTTTGATAACTCCTACAATGTGAATACATCCATCATGTGAGGAACTTGAAAGCACTTTACAGAAACTTAATTCTGAAGTTCTTTGTGAAGTAGCAGTTATTTTCTGTGTGTGTTTTTTGATTTTCAATGAACAAAAACTGTTTTGTCTAGGGTTACAGTGTGCTATGTCAAGGCCAGAAATGAAAATCTGGAGCAGTGAGTCTTAATCCTTTCCTGTCTCAGGAGTCTCAGGATATGTATATATTTCTTTTGTATGGGAGATGCATCAGGAAAGAATGGATAGTGTAGCCAAAGTCCAAGTCTAGTGCTCTGTAGGAGAAAAATACAACCCTGGAATGCACACGTGTATATTATCTCTCACTGTGAAAAGACACATTCTTATTTGTCTTGTCAGTGAATTAAGTTTTCACGCAGAAAGTTAGCTTCTAGAAGAAAATCTAGTTGTACAGTGATGGGACAGAAATAAGGTAAAACGTGCAGAGATGTACTAATCTATTAGGAATCCTGATTTTTCTTTTTTTCCTCTGTATGCTTTGCCAGGAACCAGTTTAGAGAACAGCCATTTTGTAGCCAAGATGTTATATCTGCAGTATCTAGAGTCATAGCATGCTGCAAATTCAAGTCTTGGGCTAAAGCAGGTCAGGCCAGGACAGTGTTTTCTGTATCCTAAAGTCAGTGCTCGTCTAGCAAAGTGGAGTAGTGTGTGTTTCTTCCAAAGGGATATAAGTGAGTAACCTTGAAGTTACAGAAGACACATTAGCACAGACAGAAGTCTAATCCACAAATTAGGAAATCTTCAAATAGGGCTTCAGGTTGTGCCCTGTCATATTTTACAATAGTGTGATGATCTGTCTTAAGTTACTGCTTTCCAGGGTGAGGAAACTTATTTTTTTCTACTTATGGAGGCTTTTATTTGTGGATTGTTCATTCATTTTTGGTTAAACTTGCCCAAAATTTGCCACTAAATGTCCCAGGCAGATAGAACTTGCTAAATCAAATCAAAATGAAATGCTTAGGTGCCTGAACCTTGTAAGTCCTACTGGATAAGAAATGGTTTGAAGAATATTTCCTTTCACAAAAAAAGTTTGTTGAGTGTGTGTATCAGTCCCTTTCTTGACCTTGCACTTTTGCCAGCATCCTAATTAAAGTCGTAATTCAAAATGAGACCCTCTGAAAGTCTTTCTGGATGGTCCGAGTGTTGTCATCCCTGCAGCTCTGGTAAGATGAACTCTTCCTTCAGTGTTACATTTTCGGCAAATTCCATCTACCTTTGCACTGAGCATGCACGTTGTTCTGAATATTTTGGAGTATCTAGGTAAGGAGTTTAGACTGGAGATGAAATTCTGTGTAGGGTTATCTTTTTTTTTTTTTTCCTTTCCCTAAACAGAGAAAGGGACAGATGGCCAAATATTTGGTGCTATTCATCAGTTGAACAAGTGTTTATCTTACACATTTTGTAATAGTTGGGAAGAACAGAATTTGTCCTCATCTGCTGCCTCCTGCCGAATGTTACGTGATGTGGTGCTCTCCTAAGGCTGAACTTTCTACCTAGGTCACCTTCAGAGGATTTGCTTCCCAAGCAAGTTCTAATTCTCAACACTTCCGCTTTTCCCCTTAGGCTACTACTGTGTTCTTAAGACAAAACGTAAATCACGGGTTTCTGATGGCACTGCAGGAGAGTCTAGAAAAAAAAAGTCCATGTTTGGTTCCTTGTTCAGGGATGTGGATGTTGAGGGTTCTCTTTTCTGCCTCTGTTCCCTTGTAGTTGCTGTTCCCACACTTCTCCCCTATTTTTAGCCCCTCATGCAGTCACAAACTCTTTCACTGAGAGAAATGGATGTGTGTGTTGGGTGAGGGGGTGCTGGGTCAGCTGCCAGTGTCCTGTAGCATGCAGGAAAGGCCAACCTGTTTCTGGTTCTCAAAGAACAAGCCAACCCCATATGGGGTTATAGCTCTCTTGATTTAGTCTCACACTAGTTGTGCCGATGAAGGTTTTTCTCCTAATCTTCGTTCTGTCAGTAGAAGACCTAGTAGACACTGATCGTGTTCTGTCAAACAAATCAATCATCATGTTTCTAGCACACTGATAGTGTTAGTGTTAAGAGCTTCCCTTTTGCAGAAAGGTGAAGTGTAGCTGTAACTCCAACTTGAAACTATTTCTTATGAAGTGTAGGAAAATGGAAGCTATTGCATACCTAATCTAAAATCTCTTTAAAATGTGTCAAGTGAACTTTTAAGGAGCTGGCAGTAGTAGGGAGTGTTCAGAGTGACTTCTGGAGAGTTGCAGGATGCTGTGTTCATGCCATGTTTCTGCTAGCATGAAATTCAAGAATAGGAGGTGATGTGTCTTTGGGACTGCTGTAGTTTCCTGGCAGGAGGATTGCATTTGGTAGTGCAACAGCTGATTGAATTGGCTTTTGATATATTCTAACTTCTGTGCTAAATGCTTTCTGTGGTAGGATTTAAGCCCCTTATTGCTCCCTGAGGTAAATGACTAGTGAAATCCAGAACTGCAATCTCTGTATGTTTGTAACTGACTGTATTTTTAAATGTCTTTGGTTTGCAGTATAAGGCTATGAAATCAAGTTACTTCAGAGTGAGATATATATGTGGTATACACAGGATGGTATGCAATTGTGGAGTTAATGGCACTTTCTTATGGGCGTTACAGAAAGTCTTCATAGATTTCACAGTATGTTTGACATGTTAATCTCTTCTAAAGGTATTGACTGTCAGCTATGTATAGCTATGCTGGACACAACTACAAGCAATAGTAAGATCTAAGTAGTACCTGGTATTATAGTTGTTGTTTGCTCTGTAAACTGCTCTGCAGTTTTGTCTCTCCTGCCCTTGACCAAATACAGAAATGAGAAACCTTTGTTAGTCTTGTTTCTGTCCAAGTTGTTTTTGCTACTTCCTTCAAAGACCAGGAATGTGCTCCTAAGAGAAATGTGGAGACTTTCAGGTAAAGCTGAATTAAAACTCTGGTGACAAACTTAAGTCAGTTATCACAGCCTTACTGTGTACATGACTCTGCATAGTAAATACTGTAATGTGTTGAACTTGCAAATAAACGCTTGGGGATTTCTAACAATTCTGGTAATTGTCTGTGTTGTGGGTGGATTTGTGCCATTCAGGACTTGTTGGGTGGATACAGAATTGGAAAACATTTTGCAAAGAACAAGCAGTTTACACAGTCTGCAGTAAACTAGCTTAGGACAAATTTTTATTCTTTTTAACCCTATTTAACCATTTTGGCAGCGGTAGTTCTTGGAGCCTTCTTCACTAGAATGAGCTTCTGCTTTGAAAGCCCCTACTGCAGCTTTGTCTGCTGCTTTTGTAAATGCTATGTCTTGCTCAGATGAATGTAAAGGTCTTTTTTGTTTTGTTTTGTTAGTAATAAGTTAAAAAGGAAATTTATATGTCAGTAATATGGAAATGCCTTAACATAGTAAGAAAATGATGGCACTTTATTTTTTTGAAACAAAATAAATGAATTGGTGGCTGTGGCAACCAATGCACATTCATGATGAGTCCTTGCCTGAACTCAGTGTGATTCTCATGGACCAATAAGGCTTCTCCAGAATATTTTGTACTAACAAACCACTAAACTGTATTTTAAAGATCGAAAATAACTTGATTGCAGGTACTTGACTGACAATTTAAATAATATGGCTATGAATCTTATCCTTTTCGTTCAATCCCTACCTTTTTTCCTGTTAATCCATTCTCTGGCAGTGTCCTCTGGACACTCTTCTGGCATGAGAGCTGTGGCAGTCTTCCACAGTGATGAGCTGAGATACTTCTGACTTGACCACCCGCACCCTGCTCTCCTCTGAATTGCCCGTGCCCGGCCTGTCCCTGCAGATTCTCACTCACCTGCTCCACAGAGTGGACAGGGGACCAGCTGCCCTCCAGCTTCAGCCCATTGCCTTGGCTGAGGTGCTTGTTCTCTGTTAGAGGGTTTCTGTGCACACGTGGGAGCAACATCCACATAAAAGCTTCAGTTCAACTTGTCAGCAGTGACAGAATGCTCATCCTCATTGCAGTTACCTTCTAATTATTGGGTTTTTTGAGATGATTGTAATTATTAGTCTGTTATCAAACACAATTTATGCTATATAAACCCCTGCTCTGGCTTGCTGCTTTTCTTAAAGAATGCAGCTCTCACTGCTAATTGTAGAGAGCTTTACTTCCTGCCTCCCTCCCTCCTATTACTGTTTTTTCCCCCCTTTAATCATGACTATATGCTATATATGAAGAAAAGAGAGTAGGCAACTCAAAATGAACGATACATTTCTCAGCTCTTTGGAATCTATTTCCATTTATTACTGCATTGGCCTGCATTGTGGTCTACCAATAAAAGCTACTAATGTGTTCATTTTTCCTGTCTGTTCTTCCAGTCAGGGATTTCTTTGTAGAGAAAATTTAGCTTTTGATCCCATTGCTTTCCGTGTCACTTCAGGGCGCCTTTTCATACTAAAAGGTGGTTTGAATTCAATGAGGCTAAAATTATACCATAGAAATCTGTAATACTCTCCTAATCCCTTCTTTCCTGTAGTTTGTCATGCTCACTTGTGTCCCATTTCAAATTCCAGTGGGATTACTGCCAGAGTTGAAAGAATTTGCAGCAGAGGGAAGACTTGCACGCCTACAAGAAATTAAGGTAGTTCAGCATCTTTCCATCCTCTATCTCTTGTTTAAAAAACAAAACAAAAACAAAACAAAAAAAAGCCATAATTGGTTCCCATATAATGAAGGCAAGTCAGCTGAGATTGAGTTAGTTTTATTAGTTATCCTTTGTGGCTTCCTTACGAGTTTAAACTAATGAATTCAAGTATCAAAGTAGGAAAAATATGAAAATCTTAATCTAATTGACAAAATGCTTCTTCAGTAACTGAGGAATTATGTTGCAAAAATCAGGAAAGCAAAACATTCTTTCATGCACTACTAGTATGGAAGAACATAACACTGTATCTCCCAAGTATTTATTTAGAAGTATTTCCCACCGGGTTGTTCTAACATAAGTATATACATTACAATAGAACAATAATAACTAATGCAAAATTCTAAAAACTGAAAGATGTATCACTAAGCTGCTAAATAAAGACTTAATTTAAACTATGTTAATATTAAAGTTGTAAAGCTAGTTACGAGAAATTGCATAAGCAACATGAGGACAGTGCTTTAAATTTGCATATATTCATGTTCAGTATTTATTTATAGACATATATCTAAAAGCACACAATAATATAACAATATCACAATTTTACATTTTAAAGAAATGCAATATTGCCTAGTCTCAAGCTGATTCTTAAGCAGAATATTTTTGTCAAGTTTTCATTGCTGAGTTTTCAACATTTTCCTTTATATTGAGAAAACCCATTCAGAGATTCCTTTAATGCCATAAACTTTACAGTCTATGTTCAAAATATGAAATATATTTTAAAAGCACAATTAAAATCAAGACTTTCATTTATTTAAAAATCCATAAAGATTTTAAAAGAAGGCTAGATTCTCAGTAGACTTTACATTATCATAGCTCTATTTTAATTGAGTTACAGTGTTTTCTCAAATTCAGGATCTGGCCTTTCCAGTATAACATTAAGATGAATGAATCTTGCCATCAGGAATTGAAGTATTTGTTCGAACGCAGAACCTCCTTTAGGAGATAGTCAATTCAGTACTGTGAACAATCAGTTTTTTTTTTAAATAATGCAGTTTCTTTAGAATAAAAAGCCATTCCACAAAAGCAGACTGAATAATAGAACTGTAAACTTTCAAATTGAGGTATATTTATGTAATTTAACTCTGCCTGTCAGTCTGTCCTTGAAGGAAGAATATGAAATACATCTAAAATAAGTTACTTTTCCACCATAGTTTTCCAAGAAGATAAGACCAAACATAAAAATTCTTTTTTAAAATGCTTGTTCTAACCGTTAAAAAAAAAGAAAAAAGTTGCAAGAATTACAGCCCCACATGTATGCTGTTTCAAAAACTCCTAAGCTTTAAATATTTTTCCAAGGCTTATTTCTCTATATATGGTTATGAAAGCTGTAGTGCTTACATTTTAAAACCAAATTTGGAGAATAAACTTTTATTGTTCTACTCCATTTCAACTCATAGGTTAAAAAAAAAAGGCTGGACAATGAGCAAAGAATCCTTTGAATTGGTTGATTTGCATTAGCACTGCCATGCTCAGTTTGGCAAGTTTATTGTTAGTTAGCAAGATTTGCAAGGGAAACATTGTGTGTGAGTAAAAAAATAATAATTCTGCTTAGTTTATTTTAAACACTAAAATTGGAAAGAAATACTAATGGTCCTAGTTTCTTTATTCACATAACCTTCCTTTAACTTTGGCCTGGGAGCAATGCTTTCAAAAGTGATTTAGACTTCCTATTCCATACTGTGTTGATACCTCACTCCCACTGAAATAAAACATTGATAAGCATTTTTTGAGAATTAGTATTTTTATTACTTTTAAATGTAGCCATTGTCTCATTTAGACAATTCTGAAGAGGAATAAAGTGTCAGCAGTAGAACTTGGGAACAAAATGAGAAGCCTGGAGTACCCTGCCAGGCACTTACCTTGTAGAGTGCTACATTACTATGGACAGTACGCAAGTGTTTGCATATTCCTCCAAACTTCTCACAAACCACTGAACTTTTGTCACTGGGTGAGATCTGAGTACACACCGGGCTCGCTCTGGTGCAGCAGCTAGTCACTTGAGGATCTTTTGGCAAGATGAGAACCCTAAGCAAGGCTATTGATTTGTTAATTTTACTTTGCCTTGAGAGATTTTAATAGGAGACTATGCAAAATAATTGTTGAAATTGAAAGCTTGACACCTCCCATGGAAAAAAAAAATGAAGAACATACACAATATGCCTGAAGTCAGAGCTCAACAAAAGCAAGTTTTGATTCACCAGTAAAGCTAACACTATCTTCTACTTTCTTCATATGCATAGCAATACTTTGGAATTTCACATCTTTGGAGAGCTATTATTTTGTACAATAAATTATGGAAACAAATTTACAAATTGAGGAATAATGTGCAGCTAAAACAAACACCACAATGGCTTAAATAAATATTTTTAACAGCAACGAGTACTGTTATTTAGTGTTATGTCTAACAACTAATAATGGCTTACTTTTCTTAGATCTTTACTTACACAATTGCACAGTTCTCTTTCTTTGGGTTATTAATTTCTTTAGGCCACAGACCATTCCCATTCTGTTTGAAGGAAAAAAAAATGTCATTCCAGACCATGAAAGACACAGCCCCGCGTGGCTCTGGCTCCTTGCTCCTACACAGGTATTTCAGAGCGCCAGAAACGCCGCCTCGTCGGAATCTTTGCCGCTGTCTTCGCTAGGCAGGCAGCCCCCGACGCTTGGGGACCTGCAGCTCAAGTCCTCCACGCCCGACTCCTGGTCGCTGTTAACCGAGAGGTCCGGATCAGAGCTTTTCAGGTTGTCCTGGGTCAAAATCAGGGCTGAATCCTCTTCATCCCCTTGTGAAGGACTTCGGGATGGGAATGATTTCAGGTCGTTGTTGTACTCCTGGGGGGTGTTAGCCAAGCTGATGTTGAAAGTAGAGCGCCCTAACTCTTTGTTTTGGTCTTGCTGCTTACTCTTGAATTTATTATCATTTAATTGCACTTTCTGAAGACTTGCCAATCTCTGAAATAAAGAAAAAAAATACATATATTGTGAACATAGATTTGTAGCCCGTTTCTCCTTTGAAGTGTGGTGGTTGGATTTTTTTGGGGGGGGCCTTATTAAAATATATAGCCATTATAATTACGTAGTTGAGTCCAGCCAACTGTCATCCTTTAAAATTGCCTATTTGACCATTAATGTCTGTAGGGTGTGAGAAATGCAGAATGAGTCACAGAGGGATGTAAAACTTCGCAAGAATGGTACTTTTGCAACAAAATCAAGGTGAAATGTTATTCTTAAATTCAAAAAAAATTCCATCCTGTATTTTATAGATGGCAAAGGCAAAACATTTCCAGTAAGTGAGAACAAAAGTGATAGCCTTGAGATGCCCTCGTGACAGTAAATGATGTAGCACATGGGGGGACTGCGCAAAATCTGGAGCTGGAGTTAGTTCAGCTGTGAAGCCTGATGCTCAAGATCAAGTTTGAGTTACCTCTCCTAAGGCCTCCAGCTCTTCTTCCAGCTGCTGCGTTTCTTCCTTCACTGCCATCAGGTAATCAGTAACTGACTGGCGCGGGTGCAGCCCCTTCTCAAAGCGGTTGTACATCCCGCTCCAGAACCTGCAGGTGGTGGAGAGGTCAGCAGTGGCTTCAGGAGACGTCAGTACGGGCCACCCTACGCCCTCGCCGGCCCTGCTGCCATCACTGGAGTGCACACAAGTTCTGCAAGTTCACTGAAGGTTGGTAAGATGCACAGTGTGTTTGTGCTGGGGCAGTTCTAAAGATTTAAATCTGTGCACAAACCCAGCTTAGACCAACTCTAATGTGTAACAGAAAGAAAGATCGTTGTGCCTTTGGTCTAGTCACAAAGCCGCGGGGGGCTCACTGATTCTGCTTTTAATGATTGAAGACATTAACTATCAAGAAGAATTGCACAGCCTAAAAAAGGAAGTTGTTGTTGTTAGTGGCCTGTATGGAAATGTTAGTGTTATGTCCTGTTGATAAGCTAAAAAATATCAATGGTCTTGTAACTATTAAACCCCCACTTGCTGCATCCTTATTTTGGGATATGTTCACAGGCAGTTTTGCCAGTGGTCTACAGTCAACCTGATTTACTAAAGTGATAGAGATTTGTTTTATTGCTTTTTCCCTCCTGTTAGTAAAAACAGAACTATCTGTTGAGGTTTGCCAAACAATACAACTGCCAGTGAAGTTACTGAACGAAGCTAACATTCTCCAGCTAACCAAAAACCTTATTTCAGGCAAGCACGTAAGTACCTGCTTCCATCTCTCTGAAATGAGATGCTTAAGGGATGCTTTTTAAAGATGCCGTAAGTACCTGCTTCCATCTCTCTGAAGTAAATGAGATGCTTAAGGGATGATTTTAAAGATGCTTTTTTCATTTTCAGGAGAAAAGGTCTCAGACTGTACGTCCGTAACTTGTTTGGCTTTCCTGTCTTCTGTTTTCTTCCCAAGTACGTGGCCAGAACCTCAATTCAGGTATGTCAATAGTTCCTCCAATTGCTTGAGTAACAGAGAGACCTGCCATAAGGGTGCAGCAGTGGAGCCAGGGAGCTGACGGAGACACCCGTGCACCTCGATGGCTTGTTACTGCCAAGCCTGTGCTATTTAAGTCATGTCCCCCGACTTTAAGTTTATAATCAGACAGCTCATGCTCGGAAATCCTTACTCACTCAAATAATTCCATTAAAATCAACAGGATTATTCATCCAAGGGAGGATCTGCAGTACTGTCTTCCATAAATCCCACTGTACTAAAGCATACAATTAATGACTTGTTTTAAAATTACTTTAAGTTAGACATGACCCAGAACAGCAAATGTGGAAGAATCCAATCTGTCATTTAAGATATTTGTTGACTTTTTAACTTTAACTGCTTTTACTTGCAGTAGGAAATCAAACTAACCTATTCTACTTAAATTTTAGTTTTCATGAATTTTTAGTCAAGCTCTGTTTCAGTTTGTCAGAATGTTAATATCAATATTTCTCAAATTGTTAAGTTTTGTTAAACCTTGAAAACATTTAAACATCAAGAAAAATTTACTGTGTACACCCTGAAGTATAA